GTTTTTTTTGTGTGTGTGTGTGAGCTAAAGTCATTTGTTTTCTCTAAGATATTGTGATGTTGTTGTATTTGTATTTAATTGATGATAGTACTTTGGTGTGTTCTTACACTCTTAACAACTTTTCCTTAGTGGGTGTGATTAGAGAATGGCAAGGTACACTGTTATCCATTCGCCACTTGTGCATCCAGTTTAGGGTGCGTTTGGCTGGTGTTGGTGGGTGTCCACTGTTTATCAATTGGCATAAGAGCTGGTATTTATTCTAGTCCAGTGAGTGGAGTTTCAGAGGGTACAGTTGTGGCTGAGCTATTTTGACATAGTTGCTGTCTTCCATTTGGTAGGGCAACATGAAAAAACACATAGAGGAAAACAAAACAGAACAAGCAAACAGCAGGAAAAACAAAAATATAATAAAGAAGAGAAAAGAAATAAAAACAGGCAGTAGCAAGAAAAAAATAATGTATGTAAAAAGAGAAAAGAAGGACAGGAAAATAGATTAAAATAAGAAAAAAAAATAAATGGAAGAGGAAAAGCCCTAAAAAACCCCCACCAAAACAAACAAACAAAAAATCTCAAAACCAACCAAACAAAATAGAGACGGAAGATTAAAAGAGAGACTAAAGAGTGGTAAAGAAAAATCTAGTAGAAAAAAGAGAGAAGAGAGTGGGAATGAGAAATAGAAGAAAAGAATGAAAACAAAAGTGGAGAAAGAAAGGATAAAAATCAAGGGAAGGGAAGGAGAGGAGGAAGAAGAGAGACTAAAGAAACAAAAACAATGAAAAACGTAAACAAAAAAACACCAGTGCAGTAGTTGGATCCAGAGAAGAGAAAATTTGGGGAAGCTCCTTCCATCCAAGGAATTCATGAGGTGGGTGGAGGAGGGACATTATGGCTGCGATGGAATTTCTATATCCCTAGGTGTTGTCTGGAGTCCTGGTGTGGTGCGGTGGGTTAATGCACCAGACTCCAAGGTTAATGCACCAAACTGCAAGGTTGGTGGTTCAAGCTCACCGGAGACCCTATACAGAGTCGCTATGGGTCGGAACCGACTCACTGGCACTTAACAACAACAACAATAACAACAAATATATATATATATGGAGTCATGGTGTGGCGCTGTGGGATAATGCTCCAGGCTGCAAAGCCGTTTGAACTGCAAGGTCTGCCGTTCAAGCTCACCAGCTGCTCCTCGGAAACCCTATACAGGGTCGCTATGGGTCCGAATAGACTTGACGGCACTTAACAACAACAACAGCTGTTGTCTATGTTCAGGGCACCCAATCCCGAAGCAGTTTATGGAGGTTACTAGTTCAGAGTCTGTCAAAACCAGCGGGCAGCTGGGTCAGGGTGGCTGATGATAGAGTTTCCTGCTATTCTAATTCTGGTCTAGAGGCTCTGTGGGTTTTGTAGATCTGGAACAGAGACCATCTGAATCCAGGCACCAAGCCTGCCTCACATGGCCTCAGAACCCTGAAAGAGCAAGGTGTATGCTGGGGGTAGATGAGGATGGAGGCCATTTCTGTTAACCTGGTGGGGGAATGGGGTTCAAGAAGGAATCCAAGCTTTTACATTTTCCAGGTGAATCTCTGCCATCTGTCTGTCTCTCCAAAGATGTTCTCGAAAATTCTCGACAGGCAGGCTGCATCTGGCTGGCAGTGTGTTCACCAGTTAGTCTTCTTTCACCATTCCTGCTCAGTTTCTACTCCCAGTAGGTAGGTATTCAGTTCACTTCTCTAACTTTTTCTCTGGAACTCAGGATTCCAGGATTGTTCTTTGTGTCTGTTTCATTTGGTCTCCTGTAACGGGTTGTATGGCATGTCTGCCCACTCTGCCATCCTGCTGGAAGTCCGATACAGATTCTTCTTTGTTTTCAACTTTCTCATTTCAATCATTAGTAATTGTAAATGCATGCTGATTACATATTTGATCAATTTCAGACTGTAAAAGTTAGTAAAAATCTTCAATTGTTTCATCATTGACATTCATGGTTGGTGTGTTTCTTAGTTATCTAGTGTTGCTTTGACAGAAATACCACAAGTGTACCCACTTTAACAAACAGAAAATTATTTATTTTCTCACAATTTTAGAGGCTAGAAGTTCAAATTCAGGATACTAGCTCTTTGGGAAGGCTTCCTTTCTCTGTCATCTGTAGACGAAGGTCCTTATCTCTTCTGAGCTTCTGTTCTTGGGTGGTCTTCATGTGGCTTGGTGTGTATCTTCCCCATCTCTCTGCTTCTTAGCTTGCTTTTAAATCTCTTTTATATCTCAAAAGAGAAAGACTCAAGATAAACCCTATCCTGATCCCGCCTAATTAACATAACAAAATAACCCACTCCCAAGTGGGATTTTAATCAGACCCATTGTTGTTAGGTGCTGGCAAGTCAGTTCCAACGCCTAGTGACCACATAGTGACAATATTGTTTCATTAATGTACAACAGAATGAAACTTTTTTGGGTCTTGTACCATTCTCACAATTGTCGTTAAGCTTGAGCCCATTGCTGCTGCCATTGTGCCAATCCATCGCACCGGGGGTCGTTCTCTTTTTTGTTGACCATCCAGTTTGGCAAGCATGATATTCTTCTCCAGGAACTGGTTCCTTAAGATAATATGTCCAAAGCATGAGAGGCTATGTCTTGCCATCCTGACTTCTAAAGAACATTTTGGCTGTACTTCTTCCAACACAGATTGTTTGTTTTTCTGGCAGTCCATTGTACTTTTATATTTTTCTTCAACACTGTAACTCAAATGCATCAATTATTCTATGGTTATCCTTATTCATTGCCCAACTTTCACATGCATATGAAGGTATTGAAAATACCATGGCTTAGGTCAGGTGCACCTTATTTCTCAAACTGATATCTCTGCTCCTGAACACTTTTAAGAGGCCTTGTGCAGCAGAGTTACCTAATGCAATGCATCATTTGGTTGCTTGACTGCTGCTTCCATGAGTTTTGATAGTGGGTCTAAGCAAAATGAAGTCTTTTTGACAACTTCAATCTTTTCTCCATTTATCATGACAGCATTTATTGGTCCAGTGGTGAGGATTTTTGTTTTCTTTACATTGATGTGCAACTCATACTGAAGGCTCTTGTCCTTGATTTCCATCACTAAGGGTTTCAAGTTCTCCTCACTTTCAAAGAGCAAGGTTGCATTAACTGCATAATACAGGTTGTTAATGAGTCTACCTCCAATCCTGATGCCATGTTCTTCTCCATATAATCCAGTTTCTCAGATAGAGGTTAGGAATTGCAGCACATATTTTTCAGGGACACAAATCAATCAATTAGTCATATGAATTGATTTTCCTTGTAGGTACATGTAGACACTGATAGCACTCTGTTTCAGCATGGAGTTTTTTTTTTTTTGATAATGGATGTTACGCTATTCCTCTTAAATTCGTTATTCTTGTCATAGTAGGTCATATGCTTGTCTGATATGATGTACTTCACTTACTCATATTCCAATTATTAATGGTTAAAATAGCTGTTTTTTCTCATTAATACTGCTGTACAGTACAAGGACTAATATGAATCTGTTATATAAATTTCCCCCCACTATATGGGGAGACGAAGACACCTTTTAGAAAAAGGTGAAAAAGTAGGTTTACGTGAATAAATATTGGCATATTCTTACATTTGTACGAAATAGAGAGAAAACTAATAGGTAACGTTTTTGGAACTCTTGATATTTGCTAGGCCTGGATATTACTTCGTCTAACCGACTCCACGGCACATAACAACAACAACAAAATCTCCACACAACACTGTGAGATAGGTTGTATGTCAAAAAAGATCAAATATCCTTCTTACCCAATAGTAGAAGGACTTGCCCAAACAGGGCTTTGATTTGTGAATTAATTTCCTTCCCTGTGGTAGGCATAAATTATGCAGAAAATTCTTTAACAACTACTTGGCCAGGGATCTCTGTTGGGTGAAAGCTGAAAATATGAAATAAGTCAATCTGCATTTTGAAAGTTGTTGTTGTTATGTGCCGTGGAGTCGGTTCTGACTCATAGCTACCCTGTACAGGGTTTCCGAGGCTGTAAATCTTTACGGGAGCAGAAAGCCTCATCTTTCTCCCGCAGAACAGCTGGTAGTTTTGAACTACTGACCTTGTGGTTCTCAGCCCAATTCGTAACCACTACGCTACCAGAGTGGCAGAATATAATAGTACAATAGCTACAGTAATAGTCATTTAAATACTGTTTGCAAAATATGCCTGCATTGCTCTTATACCTTTTAACCTATATTCACAAAAATACATTACTGGAGCATATGTAGTTAATAGCACAGCTACATCAAATCAAAGATTTCCTCTTATAATCCATAAGGCACTTCAGAGCATTACAACATTTCAGGATAATCATCATGGACTTGGATTGTCAAAGTGCAAGAAATATACGTTGTTGTTATTGTGAAGTGCCATTGAGTCAATTCTGACCCATAGCGACCCTGTATAGGGTTTCCAAGGAGCAGCTGGTGAGCTTGAACTGCCAACCTTGCAGTTCAAACGGCTTTGCAGTCTGGCGCATTAATCCACAGTGCAAAGTTTGTGAAAAAATGGATTGAAAACAGAATTAAATTGTTTCATGAACTTTATGAAGCCTCCTAGTACATTAATGGGAGTGCTGTGGCTCTGTGAGATAAGCATTGGACTGTTAACCACAAGGTCGGTGGTTCAAGCCCATTCAGTTACTTTGCTGGAGAAGATGAGACTTTCTCCTCCCACAAAGATTTCCAGTCTCAGAAACCCTATACCTGTTGCTACGAATCAGAATTGACTTGATGGTACTTAACAACAATAATAGCAATAGCAAGTACATTAATAGATATTTCTAAGACATCTTGAGAAAACAGGGTTTATTGTAAAATATACAGTCTTACCTAAATTAAATGAGATACACTGCTCTTTGGCAAAATCTCTACCCAACTCATTGGGAGTATGTCTTTAAAGCAATAAGAGTGTGCTGACCTAGAATAAATTAAAAAAAAATCTCACCAACCTATAATTGATAACTTCACCACAGCCAGGTGTTCCCGCTTGAAAAATCCTTGATCATTCTTCTGAACAACACAAGTGTACTGGCCCTTGTCTGACAGGCGCAGAGCCAGGATGACAATGGAGAGGTTATTGGTGATGTCTGCAATGGTCCGGTTCTCATACTCGGGCCATACCAATACCTTCCCAGAGATGATAGTGAGCACCACTTTATCATTCTTTTGCCAATAGATTCGAAAATTTGTAAGTTCGTTAGGGGGAACACTGTAGTCACAGGATAGTAGTGCACTCTCCTTCACCATCTTGGTCAGCTGGCTCTCACCTGAGAGGAGGTAAAAAGAATAAGATTTTATAGGAACTCAGGGTGTTGCATGTAGGAACTGTGCATAATCAGAGCACTCAATCTTTTTAGTCCCCAGTGCTTTTGAAGGTTTTAGAAATCACTGCTTAGAAAACTGAATATGATTGCATGAAAAAAAATTTGGTTTCTAAAATAATTAAGACATATCATTAAAAATACATTCATGGGTGGAGTGGCTAGAAGAACAGAAGATACTTCTTGAAAGAAAGACCGGCTGGAAAAATACAAAACAATATAGGCATTCCAATTGATTACTATAAAAACAAGCAAGTTGCTCGTCTAGGAGACATCAAGGCAAGTGGTCGGGTCCCCTCAGGGCAAACCCCCTTCCAAGACTAAGACTCAATGGGAATACACACTCTGATTAGTGACCACATTTGTCACCGATAAGGGGAAGTGAGGGAAAAACAGTAATGAAGCTGCGAGCTAAGCCCTACAATGTTCAATAGACTCCTATGAACCCTGGTGGAGACCTGGTTGGCCAGCAGTGTGGCAAGACCTGGGGACTCTTGGTCCCAGGGTCAATGATATAGCCACAGAGGACTAGAGTGGAGAGTGAAGCGTCCAGCTGATAAGAAGAG